TAGAATAATTCTACCTACCAATCATACTAAACCTTCATTCATAGATATATTTAAATTTATCTTTCCTATCATAATAGTCAAGGTCTCATAATTTAAATCTTGAATGTAGTCTTTTACTGGAATTTTATTGTGTATTTTTCATTTCAAATATAATTATATGTGAATTTGGATTTTGAAAATATAATGAAATAAAAATATGACTAAAATAATAGTTTTTGAAATAAAGGAGATTAATTAATTCATTTCTCAAAACTAAAGGGACTAATTTATAATCACTCTCATGCAGGTAAGGTTCTCAATAAATGGGATCTTGATTTAAATCTCACTTCAATGTAATTAACTGAATCTGTTAGCTTATTTTTTAAAAAATAAAATAAAATAAATACGAATCAATCTTACCTGATAAATAATAATCTAATTCAAAATTAATATTAGAATTATTTTCAATAAATATAATATTTTAAAAACATAAAATATATATATATATATATATATATGGCACTTGATTTAGATTTAGAGTTTGTTTATTTTAAAAGAGAAAAAAATATTTTAACATAAATGATAACAAAAGTGTTTCTTTATTTCTATGACTGTATCATAAAAATTAAAAATGTTTATAATTAAGTTAGTGTGGAAAAAAAAAGTTATGTTTTATTAGGTCCATGCTTGAATAAAAGAAGTAAAAGAAAGAAGACCCAAGCCCAATGGCTTGACGTCCAAGGCATAAAACCTCCTAAGCTTAACTTAGATTATAAATGACATCTTTAGTTCTGAGAAACAAATTAATTAGTGCTCTTGTTTTGAAATTAATTATTTAATCAGTTAACAGAAGTTAATTATATTTAATTTAATATTATTTTATTTTTAAAGATGCTTTTTTCCTCATCAATCTTTCCATAATATCTACACTTTTTATTTTTTCTATTTTTATAACCAAAACAAAATAAATAAAAAGAACTAAATAATTAGTTTTTTCAAAAAGAAAAGCTAATTAATTTGTTTTTCAAAACTAGAACTTATAATTTACTCCCTTTATTAATTTCAATAACTTTTTAGTATTTTAGCAACTGTAAATCTATATTCATAAAATAAAGCTACATTTTATAGGAAAGAAATTACTCAAGTAGTGCAATGTGTGATTAATGGAAAATAAGGATCCTATTTTCCCTCCTTATTGAAGCTCATCATATATTGCGATGTTTTTATTATAGCTCTCGTTGTGGCACAACTCAACTTCTACCAATGCATACATTAAATTCAGGAACTTAAATTCTCAAAATCACTTTTTTTTTGCAAATACTGCAATCAATGATCCTCTAGTGAAACTATACTGCATCATGATCTCACCTTAGACAGATACATGAGCGCCTTTTGAAACGGAGGAATCAAGGAGCAAAGGCTGGACAAAAAGCTGCAATTTACACACACATGTATATGACTAAAAGCGTACCTATACAATAATACCATTCAGAACTGTTTGACATGCTATTGATGTCCATTACCCTAAAGATGATAGTAGCAGAATATGCCAAAGACCCTACAACCTCCATATAGAGAGCTAAATTGGAAAAAAGTGGAAGAGGAAGAGAGAAGGCAAGGGCATCAAGGTAGGTAGAGCAAAACTCACAACTGGTCCTCAGTCTCCGTTTCATGCAACCAAGTGTGGCACTCATCCGATTCAGTTGGTGGAGTTACTCTCTTGCGTATCAACATTTCAACAGTTGGGAATTTCCTCTTCCTCCCACCTCTTGGCTTTGACCTGAACTGCCGATCAGACTCCACAAAATCACCCTGATCCAAAAGCAATCCAATTTCAGAATGCCAATTCATTTTCCAGATCGTTAGCAACATAAATTCCTCGTACATGAGCAAAATGTGTTTATAGACCAGCATCAGAACTTACAGGAGTATAGACATGCAAAGAAGACTTTTCATGGTTATCTCTAACATGCTTGAATGAGAATCTCATGTCACAACCTGGAAATCCACACACAAAAGGCCTTTGCTCAAGATGCACTGCCTTCACGTGCTGATTAAGATTTGTTTTCTGCAAACAAACAGGAAAAACCGAATGACAAAAAAAAAAAGACACTTGGTGAGCAGGTAATGGTTCACTTATCGCTATTAAACACTATAATAAATAGACAAGTGGATGATATAACATTAGCAACAACTTACAGTAGAGAATGTGTGCTGACAGCCCTTGAAATTGCATTTGATTCTCTCTGTTGAATCACTGACAGGTTCATGGGTACGGAGATGTCTCTTGATGTTCTTTCTTAGCTGTTTTGTGCCACAGATGTCACAGTTAATGTATCGGTGGCAGGACTCTATGTGGGCCTTCAGGCATTCCTTATTAGAAAAATGTTTCATACAGCCTGGTTCCAGACACATAGCCTCCACGGAGTTCAGGTTCACTGCATTAGATAGGATAATAATCAGAGACTACAGGTAGTATAAATTGCCAAAAATTCCAAATCGTGAATAATTCTTCCTCATTTCAAGAAACATCAACTGTGATATTGGTGTATGAGTGAAAAGAAAGTAACTTACCATGAGACTCCTCATGCGTTCGCAGCTTTGATGGATATCTGAAAGCCTTCCCACAACCCAGTTCCTGGCATAAATACTGTTTTTCACCTTCAACACTATAGGAAGGAGAACTCTCATCATGAAGCTCTCTAACATGCCTTTTCAAATTGCTTGGGTAAACAAATTTGTGATTGCAATTCTCAATTTGACACTTGAAAAGTTTCCCTTCATGTAGGAGAAGGTGGCGAGTTAAGTGATCTTTCCTTCTATAGCTGGCATGGCAACCATCAACAGAGCACACAAATGGCCTCTGCAGAATCAGAAAAATGACAAAAACGTTAGAAGCAATAATTTCTTAGATTACTAAAAATAATCAGAATACACACAAGCAAAAGCCTTCAAACCTCAAATTCAACAGGGGCGTGATTGAGGCTCGCTTGAAGGAGCTTCTCAGGAGGTCTCCCAGCCTGATACTAGTCCATTCAAGTCCAAACTTCAAGCCTCTCGCATTTTGGAGTTCTCTGAGTGGGATCCAATGCTCACGCATCAACTTCCAGATTTTTTTAAAATTAAAATTGCAATCCTGCAAAATACTTAGTTTTCAATCGGTGCAAATGCTAAATATATCATTAACAACCCACTTTGAGCTGCAGGGCACATACTGTTCCAAAAAAAAAAAAAAGCATTTGAACAAGGAAATCAAATAGAAATCAAAACCATGCGTACAAGCAACATATACAAGCAAAAATCATGGTCAAATACCTCAAGAGAATGACTTTGCATGTGTTGAATCAAATAAGCAGGCTTTTTAAAACTGGCACCACATTTTTTGCAACTGTTGGATTTTATTTCCTCCTTTCCATCATCCCCGTTAACTCTTTGTTTGTCCATCTCCTCCTAAGCAACAGGAAAAACAAAGGTAAGACTGCAATTCAACTTATACAATCTTCAATTTCAAAATAGCCCACAAAAGAATTAGATTCCAAAAGCAACCTCAGCCAATAAGATCATTTAAATTAATACCAAATAGATATAAGGGGAAAAATATAAGGAAAAAAAAAACCACAGAACAATCGAAAAGAGGAAAACCCAGAATAATAATTAATAAATGAGAACAATGAACCAATAAAAAACACTGACCACGGAGCACAATCTTGGTTCCTAATTACATAGAAAAAGAAAAAAGAGAGCATATTTTCCAGTTTCAGATCCGACCCAACAGAGAAAACTAGCCATATAAGGTGAAGACTACTAGTATTTTCTGAACAGACAAAAATACATGAAGGAAGAAACAGAAGTACATTAAAAGACCGACCTTGTGATGGATGAGGACATGAGAAGTGATAAGAGACTTCTTCGATCTACAAATACCACAGTAATCACAATAATACCGCCTAATATCTCTGAATATAACTGGCCTTTCTTTCTCCACTTGTTCTTCTTCCATCATCACCATCTCTCTCTCAAAAGGGTTCTGGTTTTTTCTTTTCTTTATGCCAAAATATAAGGAGAGGTAGCAGTCAGAGGCGCCTCCAATGGTAGGAACCCTAGTGGATGCTAGCCTGTTTGAGTATTTAGCGATTTTACGTCACGTCAGATTTTTTTTTTTTTTTTTTTTTTTTTTGTAACCCCTTCCTACTTGAAATTCCTGTTTTGACCTCCTTTATTAACTCAAGATCACACGTTTTAATTGCTGCCCTAATTCGCGCGATCCTGATTGCACGAGCACGGGCGCTAAAATTTAGCTTTCATCTTCTCGGTTTCCGATATGCGCTTTGGATCACAACGCATGGCCTTTGGGCTCAAGGCTGCAAAGCTTGTTGATTTGGTTAAGTTGCTGGCCAGGCTCCCCATTTGCTTTTTCTTTTTTTTTTCTTTTTTCTGAAGTGAATGTCTTGTTAAAGAACTAATCCTGCTCCGGATTCAATGTTTAAAAAATCTATGCAGTAACTCTTTCACATGATTCAAGCCCACATCTGTCAGAAGTAGCCCTCAGACTAATGCTCAATAATCACTTTCTATTCAATCAAATGCGACCAAAACTTCTGCAACTTTGCATTTTGTAAGCATAGAACTCCAAACCTGTGAATTTAAGGAGGCCGCTCATGGGATTCAAACCAAAGGTAGCATCAGAAATAGAATAACACCACCCAGTTAAATCTAATCTCTTTAAGGAGGGTTGCATGCTATATGCAATCAATGTTACACCAAAAAAAAAAAAAAAAAGTCAATTTGCGTTTAGGATGAATAGGACAACAATTGCCTAAGCACAGGCACCACAAACTCCAATACACAACATGTTGAGACTAGCTCAAGCCATGGATCAGGCTCCAGTTTGCTGGAGGCAATTGACCCATGGATTCACTGATGTACAGTACACTGCAGAAAAGATGGCCAAGCAAAAGTCAAAGAGGTTTCTTATGCAAGCAGTGAAGTTGCCCATTTCTGGCAATACCTCATCACTCAGCCTACGCATCAAGCCCATAGTCCTCGCCAAAATATCTATCAACTAAACCATTTGCCATATTTCTCAAGTCTTCGTTCTCGTGAAACTGAAATCTTTCCATGGCATCAATACCATCCTCTCGCTCAACAAGCTTTGGGCCCTCACCATTTGGCATCCCCCTCAAAACCTGCATTAACATTTAGATGAATGATGATAAAAAAAAAGATTTAGGTGGGTTATCAATTAAGTGGTAATATGTTGAATACAACAAAAATCTGTCTGAATTTTTTTTCCCCTAGGTAAAATGAATTTACTGCACACATGCAGTTTTATAGACAAGAAAGAAATCTCACGATGCATCAAACCAATCCTAATTTCAAATCTTATCAATAAGAACATAAATTTTTTAAATGACGACCAAGGAAAACCAGAAATGAATCAAATCATAAAGCAAGAAAGAAAGCAATCTTTTGAATGCCAAAAGGAAATCCTCTCTTGGTACAAAGCTACAGACAAATAGATAAATAATTGACGAACCATTTGCTTACCAGCTCCATAAATTGAAGCCCTAGTCTTGCAGACTCAGTATCAGCAGACCTAACCAAGTCAATAAAACCAGGAAGGCATCCTCTACCAACAAGGGAAACTAGGTGCTCCAAGATTAAATTTGGCTTTCCGTTGCCTTCTGTTGGGGCAACACAGAGGTTACCCAAAACATATGCTACTTCCTTTCTTATATCAAATGGTGCAGTTGAAAGAAGCCGCAGTAATAGAGGCACAGCCTCGCTAGAATGTACCAACCGCTTATGCTCAATCGAATCAGCTGCAATATTAGATAATACCCAAGCAGCTTCCTAGAACAATTGTAAAGCATTCTGGTAAGAACAAGTGACAAAGGTCAATGCCAAAGTTATCAAGACATGCTAACTCACCTTCTTCAAGACCCGATGCTCACTCTTCAAACATTTTCCAAGGACCTCAATGACATTAGCTGAAAGTTTCATAAAGTTTATGTTTTGGATATGGTATTCAATGGAAAACCAAACTTTTTCAAGTTAAGCAAGAGAAGAGAAGTATGCCACCGACCTGTGATTTCATATCCAGGAAGAAGAACAGCAACTATTGTGTGGGAATCACCAGCTATTAGATTACCTAAACTTCGTAGTACCTATATAGGAAATTACTTGTCAAATAATCCAAAGATAAGGAAATAGTAAGTTTGCAAACATCCCAAATCCATTTGGCAAAGCACTAATGTCATGATTTAATGAACATAACTGCACGGACATGGTTATTTTTTTATTCATTATTATCTTTTAAAATTATAGAAATAGCCACGAAATGCAAATTTGTAAAGTTTCCAAATTTACTGTCTGGTTTTGATATGCACATGCTAATTTCCATATGGTAAACGACAAAATAGTAGAACCATAGTATTATATTTGGTTTAGTTTTAAAGAGATCGTTTTTTTTTCTCTCTCTCTTTCTCTAGTCTTTCTGAAGAGTTCAATTTCGTTTTGAACTGCAAGGCAAAAATAAATGTACAACTTCACAATATTTTCTTCACGTTATAATATACAACCTTCAGAGTTACAAAATAAAATTTTGGACAACTACCACAACTTGTATAGGATAAAATCCAGAACACACAATTTTATCTTTGTATGATAAGCCCAAATGCCAATAAATAAATAACAGCAGTAATCAACAAAAGCTTTGTGAAATCTCATACTGAATGGTACCGGAATAAGCAACTGCAAGCTATTTGATGATGCTAATCTTTGTACAAGCAGTTGAAGGGCATCACTTTTAACCAGCAAACTGGTAGCAACATTCGAAAGGGCTGAGAGATACACAACTACCCATGCTACCTCAGTTGCCAATTCCTCATCCCTGAATTTGACAAGTTAATGCTACTTTAAACTCAGGGATAAATTTTCTAAAAAAATTGAATAAAAGAATTTCAAGAAATGAATAACTATTCCCCAGAGCAAATTGAAGAGAGGTGACAGGTGGTAATATGGTCCCGTCCAAGATATAAAGATGGAGCTTTAAGGCAAAAAATTCTCCAGGAATTCTTCCTGATACAACTAAAAAATAACTAGCAGAAGCTTAAAAACAGAACATCTTTTAGTAAGTTAACTACAACTAATTGCAGCAAGAAAACTAACATCATGATTCCTGCATTTTAAAGTAAAGCCTAATAAGCTAATCAACCAGAAACAAAATTGATAGTTAGGTACCTCTACATGTGGCTTTTCAACAGAACTACAAAGTTAAACTTGCAAGAGAAAGGGAAAGGAAAAGTATATGATGCAAGCTTAAGATAAACAAGCAATTGCAGACACTGGAACGGGAAGCATGGATGATGTAAAAACTGTTCTAGGCTGACTACAAGTATAGTGCTCAGATGGTAAACATGGACAGCCAGACACCCTCCGCAAAGCTTAAAGAAAACGGCCCAAAGAGAAAATTCAGCAAAGGCAGTCCAAAATCTTTTTAAAGAGAAACCCAGATCAACAACATTGACAATGATTGATTGACACCACTTACGCTTTTCTTAAGTGCCGAAGAATTGCATCTAGAACCCCATCAACTCTTATGAGTTCTGTCGCAGCTTTAGGATCTGGTCCCTGCATTCAAACACACTGAAGCTATGCTGTAAATGAAATTAAACAAACAAACAAGCATAAAGCTGTGCATATGAATATATCACACAATGAACTTAATGATGCTTTTATTAAGTGATGCTGTCTTTAATGTCCATGGTGCAATAGGTGTCTATCACCCTAATAGTGGAAGGTGCTTTAATCACAAGAGTGGCTTATGTCCGATGCCTTCAACTTAAGAGATCAGGAATTCAGATGATCGAGGCGGAGAAATTCAAAGCTGGTGTACGAAAGTCAAGAGCTTAACTGATGAAGCAGAAGCTGTCACGAAAATCTGATGCAGCCATATGCAAACTCAACACCAAGTTAGTAGGTACACAGAATTGGGTATCTTTGAACATCCAATATGAGAGTTAGGTAAATGAATGGAGGGTTAAGAGTTGGCTCGTAGGTGTTGTATTTGCTGAAAACTAATTGATAACTTAGTACTACTTACAGATATTAAAAAATGACTAGATAAACTATTAAAAAAATAGAAGTAACATTTAGCATCACACTGGGGTTCCTAGAAATTGCACCCCAGGAATTCTCTGGCATTACACCTAAGAAAAGATTGCATGCTGCACCAATTATTTAAGGCATGTCACCACATATATAAAGCACTAGATCCTCACAAATTCTGGCTCGGAACTTATTTTCCAGTGAAAAAAATTAGATCCCTGCATATAGCCTCTCAAGGTAGGTTACTTGGGGATGCATATCCTCACAAATTCTGGCTTGGAACTTATTTTCCAGTAAAAAAAAAAATTACATCCCTACATATAGCCTCTCAAAGTAGGTTACTTGGGGACATGCCTCTGACTTGTTGATAAAGTAACTAGCATCTCCAGGAGTGAACACTATTTAATCTTTGGGACATGGTTCTAATTTTTCAATAACATCATAAGCCAAACATGCACATGCAAATGACCAGCTGTTCGTCGGGAAAAGCTTCAAAACCTTGATTAGGTTTGACAATGCCCAAGCAGCTGTTCTCACAGTTGAACCCTTGTTTGGCAGCATCATTCTTGCAAGAGGTGGTAAGGCTCTTTGAGATAGCAAAACACTTCTCAACTCTTCTCCTTCACCAGCAACATTTCCCAATGCCCATGCACACTGTTCAGCCACAGGAGAGGAACTCTTTTCTACACAAAAATGCAATTATAAATGCCAGACCAAAAGTAGAATGTTGATCCACTAAAGTTTCAAGCAACTATCTGAGAAAACAAAGAAAAATTATACACACCCATGAATTACCAGGCTACAGTTTTCAGAATTACTAAGTTTCGGAAAATGAGTGTTTCAATCTCAAAGTTAAAGTGGCATTTCATTATCACTCAGATTTATCTCATATTGGTGTCCCAGTACAGGCTCGCATCACTGAAACCAACATATTTATATCATACAGTTGAGACAAGAAGGCAAAAAATCATTTCTTGACACTAAAAAGGATACACCAGCCATCACAAACCTCCAAGATGTGCAATAAGCAGCGGTAATGCAGGCAATAATGCTTTTGTTTCATCTGGTTTTCCTGCTGCAATGTTTGTAAGGCACCATGCTGCCTCAAGTAACTGCAAATAAGATAAGCATCAGCGTTTGAATTTACATCACTCCTTATAAGAAGCCATATGTTTTTAATTTTTTTCATATACCAGGTAGGCAGTATACTGCTTTCTCTGACAAGCACTGAGCATTAATTCAACATACGTTGCGATTAAAGAAAGAAAAAAGAAACAGCTGATAGACCATAGACTATAGACTATTGGAACCTAACATAGATAGAGATCCCCCACCCCCATGCAGAGAACCCTTTTAATTAAGGAGGATGATTCTTTTCCGTTATTTAATAGAGCTGAACCGTTCCATGTATCAAATTACTTAAACTGCAAAAAACATCATTGGACCTGTTCATCTGGAGAGCCAAATGAGAGACACTGCACAAGCAAGGGGATTGCTCCAGCTTTAATAGCAGCTTCAACAGGAGGGAATTCAGATTTTGACAGCAAACGCCTCAGCTCCCGAAGCGCACCAACTAGCTTCTGCATTGCACCTTTCCCCCTAAAGGTTCAAGCATAAACATGGTTCAAGACAACCATGACGATAGCATAGTACTAATTAGCATATTTGTCATAACAAGAATATCAAAATATTGGGATTGACTAAGCTGTGTGAAAAATTATCAAATATCACCCCCCTCCCTCCCCAATCCACCCAGGCATGCGGGGCAGTTGTTTTCATTTCGCTAACATTCTCCTAAAATCCCCAATTTTCTTTTGCTCATCTTAACCTGCTTAGAGTTGTGCTACACGAACATACAACAATTAGCACCGTCATAACAAGAAATTAATGCAATTGACCAACTGTGTACAATGATGCATAAAGATTCACATACTTGAAAGCAACGGCAGACTTCAACTCTTCAACAGCCGACGAAGTTTGAGCATCTAAAATTGATTGCTCTTCATCAATTATCATGTCATTTTCGATAGGAATGTCACTATCATCACCACTAGGCCCCACTCTGCAAAGACGTTTAGCACGAACCAACGATTCTCTCCTTTCCTTCCCCACCGCCACCGCATTTTGCCGCCTCCTATGGGCCGCAACATTCCCAACTACCCACAGCAAAAATAAATAAGCATCCAATTAGAAAAGAATACATCTAAATCCTTGTTCTGAGTCAAATTAACAATCTGTTTAGTAGAAATGATTCTACAAATTTCTTCAATTTTTTATTAAAAAGAAAACCTAGTTAATGAGGGAAAAAAGAAGACAAACCTGAAGACTTGATAGGGTCTCTTCGGTGAGAAGTTAATCCATCTTCAGCCATTTTTTCTTTTTTATTGGGTCTTTAGTGAGGTTTTTGTATATGAAAATAGTAGGAAAAAAAGAAAAGGGGAATGAGAGAGCGAAAACAAAACCCCTTAACAAATTGCAGAGATTTTCTAAAATTCACGCGCCGGAGCGCGAAAGTTCGCCGTCTTTGATAAATTCCTATTTATTCTTGGGCAAATTGCACAGGGCTCCTTATTTAATTTAAACGTAACCCCCATAAAAGTTTGGTATATTGTTCAAGCCCCAACTTTAATTGTTTTTTTAGATAATTACACTATAAGTACACAGATTTTAATTTTTTTAATGAAATACATAAATTTTAATTTTTTTATTTAAATATATCATTTTAAAAAAAATATAATCAAGTATTCTTATTAATTTTTTTTACTTATAATGCGTTCATTACTATTAGAATACTAAATTATATTTTTTTTAATCAAGTATATAAATTTTAATTTTTTTTCATTTGAGTATATTAGTTTTTTCAAATATATTAATTAAGCGTTTTTATTAATTTCTTCATTAATTGATAACGTGTCCGAATATCAAATTTTTTCTCTCTCTCTCTTTTCTATTAGGAACTTTTTTTCAAATTATTTTATCATTTTAAAATTTAATAAAGAATTAAAAATAATATTTTTAACGATAAAATTATAAACTACACTCGATTAGACTTGCTATTAAAAAAATCAGTTAAATTTTGAGCATGAAAGTTAAAAAAAAATCAGATAAATTTTTATTAATTGATAACGTGTCCGAATACCAAATTTCTCTCTCTCTCTCTCTCTCTCTCTCTCTCTCTTATCGAGAATTTTTTTTTCAAATTATTCTATCATTTTAAAATTTACAAAAGAATTAAAAAATATATTTTTAACGATAAAATTACAAACTACACTCAGTTAGACTTGCTATTAAAAAAAATCGGTTAAATTTTGAGCATGAAAATTGAATAAAACACGAACATGAAATTTTTTATCAAGAAAATTAATTTGTATTTTCCTTCAATTTTCAATTCAACACTTAAATATTTTTTTTAATCGCAAACGTAACTTAGTTTAATTTGAGATTTTATAACTAAAATAATAAATTTTTTTAATTCTTTATCAATTTTTGAAATGATAAAATAATATGGGAAGAAAATTCTTTTAAAAAAAGGATAAAATTATAATTTTATATTCGAATACGTCATCAATTAATGAAAAAAATTGACGAAAATACTTTATTGATAGTTTAAAAAAAATTAGTATACTCAAACAAAAAGCAATAAAGTTCATGTACATGATTGAAAAAAAATGATAAAATTATAATTTAATATTATAAGAGTGATGAACACATCATCGCTTAACAAAAAAATTGACAATTGACAAAAAATTGATATACTCAAATTAAAAAATTAAAATTCATATAAATAATCATGGAAAAAAAGAGTTAAAAATTAATGTACTTATAGTGTAATTATCCTTTTTTTTAATCTTATTGGTTTCAATTTATTTGGAAAACCTCGCTTTCATCCTAGTGTTGTACCTAATTATCTATTGCATTCTATAACAATTAATTTTATCAATTTCACCTTAGAACAAATAAATTTGTCCATTTCAATACCAATATATTAGATATTTCCCAATCGAGTCCTTCTATCTAAGAATTTTTTTATCCAACATCACATTCCCTTTTGAAAAATATTATTTTACTCAATAAAATAATAAAAATATCAATGAACATTGATGGAAGGACAAAATGAAAAAATATTCAATCCTTTATAATCTAATATAGTTTACTCTTTCAATGAAGAATAGATACATTGGTGCCCCTTTACATGAAGATGTTCTTCGTTGCACATCTACCTCCTCAATCTATCTTTTAGTGTTTGTATAAAACTTACACAAAAGAGAAATATAGGGAAAACTAAAGTTTCTTTCTATTTTCTAACTAATTATTACTTTATAAAGAGGGAAGACTTTTTTTTTTTTTTAGTATTGTCTTTTTTCTAAAAGGTGGAAGTTTTGTTATTTCTTCAAGGATATTATCCTATCATGACTTTCGTTACCCGACATTTAGAGACCTCTAAAAATTATAGGAATTTATTTATGAAAAAGGGAAAAATTAAAAAAAAAAAAAGAATTTAGAGTCGTCATGTCATGACCCTTGAAGTGGGCCATGACTAGCGTGAGAATCGAGTGAGTTGTAATACCTACCTTGACTCAAGCAAGTCTTGGATATTTAAACTATAATTCTTAAACTTGTAGCATATCAAATATCATTTCTAATTTGCAATATCACAACCTAATAGTTAATGCCTTATAACTCTAACACAAACGGTAATTCCATAATACTTTTGTATTTATCAAAATAATATTCATACTCAACATTCTAATATAACTCTCATCCAATTTATAATATCGCACCATAATTAATTAATGTCAAATCCAAATCCACTATACCATATCCAATTCACAATACTTAAACATATTCAACATAATAATCATCAATCCGACACGATTATCACAAGTATAACTGTAGAGCTTCTAAAGGGTATAATAATATCAAAATACAAGTTTGAAACATTACAAATAAATAAGTTGCATGATCAATATGTCGGCTTCAAGACAAGTAGATTTGTGAAAGTAGAAAGGCAATCTCACAAATCTTACAAAACTAAAATAAGTGGCATATGAGCAATTCAACGAAGTTAGTGAGTAGATGTTATATAACATATTTAAAGGGGGAAAATGAACTAAGGATGATAATTTAAAACCTATTCAAAATGCAATGCTTATTTCTCAAAGTTAAATATATATTATAAATATCAAATCATATATCATATCTTTAAATAATTTAAAATTTAAATCTAAACTAAAATCACACATCGAATTACTTATAATCAAATCAAATCAAGTATCTAAATTCACATCTTGGGTGAAACAAATATAAGGTATTATTGAATGCAAACACACAAAGGCTACGTACTCGTAACTAGGTTTTCGTATATTGATCGACACACGGACTAGCACTACACCTCTTTTACTAGCTGGAGCATTGCATATGAATGAGCTCACAAGCTATATTCCCCAAGGTAGTCAATCAAATTGAAAATCAAATAAAATTATACATAATCCAAAAATATCCAAATCCAACATATCAAAATACAATTCATGCTAAAAATTAAATTTGGTAATGCAATTCAATATCAAATCTCATGCTCACAATCTAAACTCATATAGAAATTCATATTCAAAATTATAAATTAAATACTTACTAAAATTATATGAATAAATCAAAATAAAAAGTCTAAATTAAACTAGTAATTAAATCCATAAACACAAATCAAACCTTAAGTGAAATACTTATTTAAACACATATTCAAATCCTTTTTTAGAATCACATCGACTAATTTCGATATTAAATCATTTCAAATATACAAGAAGTATGTTCCCATCTAAGTTTTAATGAACATGGTTGCATCATAATTAAATCAATGATGCATAATAGATATATCAAAGAAACTTAAAAACATAATATGTTATATACTATCCATTCACAATACAATTGAATGATCGAATGAACTCAAGCTTGTTGAGATAGAGTCGCCTACTCTAAAGAATTTAATGATACAAAATGGTCAAAAATTCATCAATATCACATATCAAAGAATAATTCAAAACAAATGAACTACTTTAGAAATTAGAATACAAGATAATTTATAAGAATGAAATCGATTGGAAAGATTCAAATTAATGGTTTTAATTAAACTCTTACTCTTTCAACCGATTCTAAACAATTACCCAACTACATTCCAAGTTTACTCTATAATCTTTCTCTAACAATCCAATTTACACTTTAATATAACTAATTATCCATCATCAGTTACTATTTAATTTATTCTCACAATGTACCTCAATAATCCATCATTTTTCCTTAACCTCTAAAATAATTTAATCCATATTATTAAAACAATCCATAATAAATCTTCCAATCCAATCAATAAACTCATAATTAAACTCTTTACTCAAAAATCAACTAATAAATCCCAAATTTTAGATTTTACTATTCATCATCTTCAATCTTTCAAAATTTCATATCTTACTATTTATCATCTTCAACTAACTTAAAAATTTTGCAAACCCATAGTCCAATAATCAATTTCGTACCACTATTATCATATTTCAAGCATCAATTAACATAATTAATTATTCAATCATCAAACCCCTAAATTCAATTCAAATCTTAATCCCAACCTAACTTAATTATAATTCAAATAATAAACCCAATATAAAAATTTCCAAAATAATCAACTAACACATATAATCATCTTAATTTTAAGATTAAATGACAAAAATCGACCTTTGACAAATAAGTTTTCGAAGCTTAACTTTAATCTTAAACTCTCCAAGCCTTTCAAGCTTTAATCTAGTTAAACTCTATTATAATCAACTTTTTTTATGATTTTTCTAAGTTAATTGGGCAAGGTTTTAATTAGAATAGAGGAGGGAAGTGGAAGGAAGTAGAGAGAGTTTGGGTGAGAAAGAGAGAAAAAGAAGGAGGAAAATAAGGGACAAAACAAAGCTTTCTTGCTTTTTAAACCATGTCGCCTAATTTTTTTTTTTACTTTCAAACTTCATTCTACACTTCTATTCAAGCCTCACAATATCCACTACAATGATCTATCTCACTTAATAAAACTCTAAAATACTCCAATTATCTTTGTTTTTTCTTTAATCCAAAAAATATAAATCACTAACTTAAATTTTATTTTTAGGACCTAGGTTATTACATGCTACCTAGTATTAAAGATAAGTAGGAATCTAAAAGAACATTGAATTTAAAGATTCTAATACAAAGAATTGATCATGTCTTTGGAAATATAACAATTATCCGAAGGCGTCATTGCCAAAGAAAGATAACATGTCTAGTTTAATCCCGAAAATATATCTCCTAATGATTGCATTTTGCCAAATTAATTCCTAAATCTATTTCCAAACTTGTTTATTTATCTAAGTCAAATTATTTTTTATTTTTTATTGTGGCATCGTATTGAATTAATTGTCGAACCCTTGAATCGAGAGTCTCTTTAATTCAACACCAAATCTAATTAAAGTATCGATATAATCGATATATCGAAGAATGATTTAAATTAATAAGGGTGATTGATTTGAATAAATTAATAACATCCGTCGACATCGACCATCACAAAGGGGACTAAAACAAGGAGTCGCCACCTAGTTAATCGGAGAGAACTAGAAAACCCTAAATATATTAATCTACTTGGATATCTAGGTAATATGACATCACCACCATCCCATCTTACCCGAGGTAGGTCGCATTATTTGCCTATGAATGTAAATTTTGATTTTTATCATGTTATACTTCTATACCTATTTAAATGAATTTATTTGGTAAAAATATAAGATGAGATGATTCGAATATAAAACAGGATAATCTAAACATTCAGTCGGTCTAAGGTTGATACTCCCTACCCAAAGGGGAAAGGTGAGGAAATTTGAAACTAGTGAACATGACCCATTATTAACAAATAGGTGAGTTTCTAAAGATGAATAACCTTTTATTGACATGAGTAGCGAGCCACCCGATAACTTCGCTCACATAAGTGGAAAGTCACCCACAACTTCATGTTGCTCGAACGAGGAGTAAATAACTATTTCAAAAGTCGGCGGCAACTTCATCACATAAGCGAGAAACCACGGACAGCCTTCGTTTAAAAAACATACATTAAATAAAAATTACTTTGAAACCTTCCAACGACCTTCGTCGTACAAGTAAAAAGTCACCGATAGTTTTGTTTTGACAAAATAAGCAATAAAACACGAAAAACAACTATCAAGGATCGAATATGAGAAATAGGGAAAATGAGCGCTACAAAATAGAAATTAGGTGTAAAAATCGATAAAATGATTTCAAAGCCCTCCGACAGCCTTCATCACATAAGTGAATAGCCACCGGTAGCTTCATTTCGATGAAATAAGTAATAAAACATCTAAAACAAAAATCAAGAAATAATAAATAAAAATCGAAACAATAGGGATCAAGCATCGGACAAAATGATTTCGAAACAACCAACGGCTTCATCACATAAGTGAAAACCATCAAAAAATTCATTTTATCATCGCAAGTAACATGGAAAGTCAATTAAACCAAAGAAATAGCACAAACTTCACACTCAAATGTACAGTTATGAAAATAGGGAATTAAGGCATTCTTTGGTCATTGGAGTAATATTTCATTTTAACCGTATTTAATTTGTAAATGTTAAGCCAAAAATTATAATTTAATCACATTCCAAACACACCAGCCATTATTAGCCTTTATTATATTTTTAGAAGTGTCATGGTTTTAGGATTTTTACCCAAAAGTCTTGAAATTTCGATATTCGATTTGGAGTCAATCTTACCCTCTTCGTTCTCGATGATAACCAATTATTCAGTTAGCCAAGAAAGGAGGGTAACTTTTAATGGGAAATAGGGGATGTGAGTGCCACTAGAGTGGTAAAAAACTCCTCATTTACTTGGTCGTAAAATTTACGGAGTTACTACCGTAGGGTTAAAAGGTTCCTAAAAGCTCAAAGTGGATTTTGTTGCTTATTTTCCTATCAAAAATTAAGTAAACACAGTCTACAATATCATGTTATTCTTTCCAACATAAGAAAAAAAAATTTTAGTCTTTTCTTTTATTTCCTCCTTTTTTCAGTAACTCAAAAAAGTGTCTAAATGGGTTGTTTTAGGGGAGATTTTTGTTACTATTTTAGTAGGTGTTTTAAGAGTGTTTTAGTGGCTATCTTAAAGCTAGTTTGGGGGTGTTTTGGTGGCTATTTTGGTGGTTTAAGAGGGCTATCCAAAGGGGTTTGTTTGGGGTCTGTTGGTGATTGTTTTAAGGTTGATTTTGGGGGGTTTTATTGTGCTTCGAGGTCATTTTTTTGTTTAGGTTGTCTTGGTGCTATATGGAGGCTATTTTGGGGATGTATAGAAGTTATTTAAAAGCTATAATGGGACGATATAGAGGCAATCTTGGTGAGAAACAGTTTAACCAAAAGAGGGTTGTTTAGGTGCTACGAGAGTCGCTATTAAGAGAGGCTAGTGGGTTGGAGTTAGTGTGTAAGGTTCATCTGCGAGGCACTACGAGGGTCGTTGTAAGAGAGAAGAGAGTAGGGCCTATGGTACTAGCGAGTGGGCGAGGGTTGGTCGGGCGTGGTGGTGCTTGCTTGTTACATGCCGGCTCACCTAGCAGAGTCGCGAGAGAGAGGAAAGAAGGGTTTGTGGCACTCAGTAGTGCCCGAGGGTTGGCTGGACATGGTGTTGCATGCCCGTTGCATGCCGGCTCACCTAACGGAGCCGCGAGAGAGAGGAGAGGAGGGCCTTTGGCGTTGGTAGTGGTCGAGAGTCGGCTGGACGAGTAGCTCCCACTTAATTAACTCTCTTTTTCTATTGTAAAAATTTTAAATGGCCAAAAGAATTAAGTCATGGCCTCACTCTCTCTTTATATAGGTTGGCCATGCATTAGAAAAATGTTTAAAATTTTAGAAGATGACACCTTTTTGGCCAAGTCACCTATGTAAAGTATGATGGTGATACCTAGATTTTCACTCACTTAAGAAGAAGGTAAATCCCTCTCAAATATTAAATATGCGCTATCAAGTCCCTTAAATCAAGCATAAATCATATTTAATATTTCATTATGTGATTTTCATAATAAAGGGACTAATATATCACTATGGCTAGACATAAAATTCGTTAATAAAAAGCTGATTCACGATAGTGGTAGTTTTCATCGACATAAACCGAAATGTTCGGACACAACATTTTTCGTCAACAAAAATGACATACAAACTTAATTATTTTTATAGCAATTTCACACGACATACAATAGAACATGAAATTTGATAGCAAACATATGTTAAGAAATGAAACTCATCAACGAGAGCACTAAGTCTTGACGCTACAGTTTTGTCGACGAATAAAACTTGTCTTGATGCGACAGTTTCGACAAGTAAACCGACATATTAAGACATTGTTATTTTCGATAGTGAATCCGGCATGTCTTGACACGGTTGGTTTACAATAACAATCATCTATCCAAGATGAATGTTTAGTTAAGTAATTAAAGTACACATAAATATTGACAAAAATTGACATGTCATAACATAACCGATTTTCGGCATGCCATGACACGTTAATTCTCGATAGCCATATGCATAGCAATATTTAAGCATCAATATCAAGTAAATTAATTAGGCATTAGGCTAAGCACATACAAACATGCATATGCTATGTGCAAAAGTCTAAGTCGTTACACATATGTCGGGACACCAACATTGTTTGCTTTTTTTTTTTAACAAAATTATTATTCGCATAAATTTATTAATAATTTAGTCTTAACACTTTATTTCTATTTCTGACCAGCCATTCCAATTTGGACTTGCCACTCTATTTTTTTCCTTAAATGATCAACAATATATGTTTTTCTAACAAGCGAGTAGTAGGCGGCTCTATTTAGTGGCATGCAATGCCCATCAACCTTCTTAGTGACAAGTAATTGGCTATCATATTTTCTATAATTGGATTTATTATTTAAAATAATTAAGTTTAATTAGAGAATTTACTTGATAGATAGTATAAATAAAGAACTTGCTTGACATATAGATAGTCCCCAAATACCATAGCATGTGCGCTCACCTATTACTTCTTTGATAAATAAATTGTTCTCAAATGTCATACCGGATGCACTCACCTCGCTACTTCTTTGCTAGAAAATTAGCTAAGTGTATTGACTTTTTTCTTTGTTTTTTAATCAAAATTTGATAAGAAGACAGTCGCAAGTGAGAAGACTCATCATTATAAAATTCATTCTTGACAACAATAATGATCCGATCATATAAAGTTATAAAAAAATAATGAATATTTGAATCAATCTTAGAGTTGTTCAAATCCCGAATGCTATTATTTTAAGCAAATACTTGAAGAGATAACAGCTTCTTGAGCGTTCTCTAGCTCCTCCTTAAGTTTTCACTCCAATTGAAGGAGAAAAAACTTATCTTAAGTGCTCAATTGAAAATGATGTGATTGAATTTTTTTTTGTTCACGGTTACGCCTAAGACATAACTTGACTAAGTAGAACGTGATGTTTCCACTAAAAAGTACAATAAGAACATAAATTATGAATTTTTCATGATTTGCCCGAGTGCATAGCTTGGTTAAAAGAATAAGGGTTACCATCGGGAAAAAAAAAGAGTTTAGAATACTCACGTACTGTTTAGCATGCAACTTGACCACATGAAAATGGCGTTGCCATAAGAAAAAATTGAGTATGAAATACTCACATCTTGACCAAGCATGAACATGGCATTGCTGTAAAAAAAGTATGAAATACTCACAATCTAACTCATACCCAATTTGGCCAAATGAATCATGGAGTTACCATAAAAAAATTAAATATAAAATACTCACGACTTAGCAAGCATGTAGCTTGGCCAAATGAACATGGTGTTGCTATAAGAAAAAACCGAGTATGAAATACTAACAATTTAACTAGTGCACGGCTTGGCCGGATGAACCTCGGCATTGCTATAAAAAAGAAAAACATGAGTATGAAATACTCATATTCGGCAAGCGTGCAGCTTGGCCGGATGAATCATGGTGTTATCATGAAAAAATAAATATAAAATACTTACGAACTTAACTAAATAAATCATGACATTACCGTTAAAAAAAGCATGAAATACTCATAGCCTTACTAGCATGCAGAGTTGGTTAGATGAATCATAGTGTTGTCATAAAAAAATTGAGTATGAAACACTTAGATTCTAGACAGGATAGAACTTGACCAGATGAATCATGACATTGCTATAAGAAAAAACTAATTATGAAATACTTACAGTCGACTATCGCACAAGTTAGTCGGATAAACATGGCGTTGTCATAAGAAAAAATGAGTATGAAATACTCATAGTTTGACCAATATGCAGCTTGCCTAGATGAATCATGACGTTGCCATAAGAAAAAATTGATTATGAACAAGTTTATGGCTCGACCGGCGTGTGGATTGACCACACTTTTTTTAAGAGCCAAGTACATATATTTTATTATTTAACTATAGGATTCAAACAATCTTTAACCATAAGGTGAAACCAATTTTCGTTAACTCTTTTTTTATTACTAAAAAAACTTAAGAATTACAAAAGTTGAGAATAAGGTTATTAATGAAAATTGAGATCTTAGAAAATAATGTGCAAATGAGCTATCAATCTCGTCTAGTTCTTCCATATGACATATGATGTGGCTGGAAGCAACCTAGTAAACATGTAAATCAAACTTTTTTCCCCTAGCTCAATCGGGTCATGGGAAATGGCATTTACTTGGTTTTTGTTGTGATTTTAATGTTATGGCATGAGGTTTTCTTTAACATTATTTTCATTATCAAAAACTATTTTTCCTTTGTTTAGCTTGTCATGAAACAAAAGCATCGAGTTACGACAATTTTTTATTGAACGCCCCACGTATCTATAGCACTAAAAATACTTAAGATTTTCTTTATCTTCTTAAAATAGAAGCTTTTTCACCCGTGAAAGGGTAATAACTTGATCAACTACCCACCGATCTATAGAGCATATACCGTGTCCATGGTGTAAGGAAAATGTGATGGTGGATTTAGTTCCATAGTCACTCATTTTGTTTTTTTATTAGGTTAATTATCTAGTTGTATGACATTTATTGAAGGACTCTTATTCTCTATACATGTCCTAAATATATAGCTTGATAGCTTTCTTCTCATCAAAACCCTTTTAGATGTCTAAGCTATGGCCTCTAAATCGCTCAATGTATTCCAACAAATTTTATATAGAACTTTGACACTCTCTCCCTAAGTTAAACATGGTCATCCTTTCACTAGTGGAGAAAAAAATTTCAATAAATAGATTGTACTTGTTTGCTCAAGCCTGGACATAATCCAAAATCGGGTTTATATACCTTGTATATGCTTTTTTAGTCATGGATTAAGATAATTCTTTTAATTTCAAATCATTATCTAAGCCATAAACACCTAAGGTCTCTAAAAAATTCATAAGATGCTCCTTGACATCTCTTTATTTTTCATTAAAAAATTTAAACTTGGAACTCAAATAGTGCTTTGGGTAACGCTTTACCATGATACGAGTTGGGTAGGGAAGTTTAAGATCAAACTTGCTAGTAGATTTTGCCAACTTCCATTCAAAGAATTTTTCTATCCTTTTTAGTAAGATAATAGTATTGGCATATAAAAGTAGCAACATAATAAGATTGACGATGGTCATGTTTAGCTTCATGGTGGTTCTTTGGTGGAAAAATGTCTTTTTTATCATCTAGTTGAACAAACAACATGGGATGGTCATTAACATTAATAGTTGGTAGTGTCATAGATTGAGGGACATCAATCCGAGAGATTTTGCCCGTAGACGGTAGTTGATGTTACGAAGGACTTGGGTAGATATAATATTATTGCCTTGAAGAACTTAAAAAATATGTTGTTGTTCTTATTGTTGTCTAAGTCGAGCATCTTAAAAAACTTTTAAGACTTTAGTTGTGGACCGAATACTCGAATGTGGAATAGTCATGGCGGGGACGTGAGCTACGGGTTGAGGTAGGCCACCTCTTGGTGGTGTTGGAAAGTCGCCACTTGTCGATTTGAGGATTTGGAAGATTATTAACATTTTTAGTGTTAAGCGAGGTGACATTGTTAGTATTGTAATTAGGATCGGGTAGGGTAATATCATTATTATAGGTAGTTGAGCTAATAACAAGATTGGTGTTTTTACAAGTGGCTATTGTTGTTCACAATTACTAAGTTTCTAATGGAGTCGCCAAAATATAGAATTTTTTTTTAAGAACCGATCAAACAATTAGTCGACAGTGTCGATCAAGATACGGAAAGCGAGTGTTATGACTTGTAGAAGCAATGGTTAACCATCCAAACAAAAATGATACAAATAGTGGAAAACATTTGAGAAGAAGCGGACAATGATAGCAAGAAGCAAGTCGAGTGGTCGACGGGTGGGTAGTCAAAGTCCAAACAAATGTAGCTTCGGGTGTTGTACGGTACGCGAGTGAGAGAAATTTAAGATGGAGAGTTCATATGTTTCTTTTGTTAGAGATTAAAAGTTCGAAGTCAAAAGTTCTCCGATATAAAAGTTCTTCCCCCTCGCAAAAAATATGAGATTGATATTTATAGTGAAAGAAGATGACCCTCGACCATTAGGATCATATCACAACATCCAAGTTTAGACGATCATGAGAAAGAAAGTAACAATTAATTTTTTTTTTAATGGATTCTACTCTCAACCTACCAACCTAATCTCCTTGATACATTCAAAAAATAAACCATGAACACTGGTCTTGTCGAACACCGGTGTCCATCCTTATAATGCATGACTCGACATCGAGTGAGGCCCGTCCTCAATTCAAACCATTTGTTATGTAGTTTGAGCCCATATCAAAAAAAGAAAAAAAAGAAAAAAGAAAACATGAATTAGTATACAATAACAAAATTAGTTAAGTTATTTAATTAATTTCTTGTGGACAAATATAACCTATACACCATCAATTAAAAAAGTAGCATATAAATTGGATCTTTCTTGCCACGTATGCAAATAAAGAGGAAAAACATATTGATACCAAGTTGAAAAAAGAAGAAGAAAATATGAGAAAGATTTTAATTAAAAACTTTGAATCACCATTTCTTAGAATAAGTTTATTATGAATTATTTTTACTAAGACTAATTAAAAACTCATGTCACAAGCTTTGGTTTAAAATGTATATTAAATATTTTCGGATGGGCCGTAAAGTAAAAAAACAAGAAAACCGTATCTTATATTAAATCAATTCACATTAAAGTCTTTCAAGTTTTTCAAAAGTTTATAATAATATCTTAATTGAATTATGCATTATTTGGATCCATGTTACTTTTCAATTAAGCCATGTTTCTTAATAAAATTACGAAATCAAGTGACAAAATGCTATTTCTTTCAAAAATCAATAGTAATTAAAAATTTAGTTTAATGATAGAAATTTTTTAAATTAAATTTCAATAAATAAATAAATATTGATACCAAATTGCTATAAAAATTATGCAAAATTTTGGGTTAAATATTTTTAATAGATATGGGATCATTACTATTTAAACACAATATGAACAACACAAATAAACATAATTATAATTACTACATTACCACAAAAATAAAATTCCTGATAATATAATCAACTCACTTGATAAATGATTATATACAAACAATCAAAAGATCAAATATGGTATTATCTCCGTGATTCTAGGGCATACAACTAGTGTATCATTAATGCATGGTTGATAGTACCGTGAAGGCATTGCAGTCATAGTGCCTTCAAATAACAACGAAAATTGCATAACTTTTGAAAAAAAAAAAATCAACGTGAAGAAAGATAAACGACAATTTTTTCAATAAGAGATTTAAATGATTACGGATTAATAAATATCTGTATTTAATATATCATAAACTTAATATTATTATTTGTTAATTCGAAGAATGCGTTAAAGTAATCATGATAAACACCTTTTTACTATGTCTGCATGCGCCTACACTTGATCCGTACGTTCTCCAATTTTAACAAGTTTAACTAAACTACTCCCACGTGTATCCACCTATCAGGTTCATCCTCTCCATTGCCTTTTCCTCCCTCTTAAAATGCCTCAACGTCGTCCACTCTTTCCCTGAAACCAAATACCCAAAAAAAAAAAAAAACAAAAAATCTTAGATCTCTTTCTAATCTCCAAAAATGCCCAATCCGCCATTAAAAGCCGTGACGCTTACCCACGTCCGCTACCGAAAAGGAGACCCATTAGGCCATTTCTTAGCATGGGTTTCGCTAATCCCGGTATTCATAAGTCTAGGGGGTTTCTTCACTCACTTCATATTCCGTCGTGAGCTCCAAGGAATGTTCTTCGCTTTAGGCCTTCTTATATCCCAATTCATCAACCAAATCATCAAAACATTTGTCCAACAAGCCCGACCTGAAACCTGTGCTCTTCTTGAGATGTGTGATTCTCATGGATGGCCTTCTAGTCATTCACAGTACATGTTCTTTTTTGCTATTTATTTCACTTTATTGACAGTTGAAGGAATTGGGTTGTCGCAGATTAAGAATAAATGGGCTGTTAATTTTTTGCCTTGGTCAATAGCTGTTTTGACCATGTATTCGAGAGTTTATTTAGGGTATCATACGGTCTCCCAGGTTTTTGCTGGGGCCGCTTTAGGGATTTTTCTTGGGGCGGTCTGGTTTTGGGTTGTGAATAATATAATTTATGATTATTTTCCGGCGATTGAGGAGAGCAAGTTTGGAAGGATGCTTTATGTGAAGGATACTTCCCATATTAAGAACGTTTTGAAGTTTGAGTATGATAATGCAAGAGCTGCTAGAAAGAATATGGCTCACAAGGCTAATTGATAAGGTAATTTCTCTTTTCTGGCAAGTGAAATTTGATCTTCATTTGCCCGCCCTCTGTTTTATTTTTGACATTATGATTTTTGATTTGTCATGCGTGCTTATTGTTTATGTTTAGTTAAGAACATTGATTTATGAATTTGATTGAGATTCTTGATTAGATTAAAAATATGAGCTTTATATATTTGCTGGTGTGGTGCCATTTCTGTCCCACTGTTTTACTGTAGACAATTGGACCACGAGAAGATTTATGAACTAGGCATGAGAGAAAGAAACCCTTGTTGAAAGTTTGTTTGTACTTTATATGAACAACACAAAAGGCAAGGGAAATTGTAGACAGTAAAACATGAAAGGATAAAGATAAAGGGGCTTTAGCGTTGGCAAATCAGTCTGTTTTAAAATTTTATAACTTGAAAGGAATGTTTATGATGTCACTTTAACCTAGGTCACAACAGCTATACTTTTAATTCTTGAAAAACAATTACTAGGTTAGTCAACTGCTTCATTCTAATTGCCTCTACTCTTTAGATATGCAAGCTTCACTGAGGAAATTGTTTGTGTTGAATATTGTGGTGTGCCTTATAAAAATGCAATACAATGGAATTAACAAATAGCAAGAGATTGGTATCATAGGAGATGTCCAACTGACTAGGAAAGCCATTAGCTCCAAATGATTAATTAAAATTCAGAAAACACTAGACTATGGGAGCAAACTAGAGAAGACTCAGCTGTATACAATATGTATGCAAAGCATTAGTAAAATACAGTCTAACAATGTAAGATACTTTTTTCCCTGCAGCATGGCATATTCTTCATGCTGCACTGTATTGTTGATGACACTTCCAACTATTGAGTGTTAAACTTGTTAGCAGTTATGTTTAGTTTTTCATGAGTGTAAGTTTCACATCCTTTTCGTATTGACAACCATTTTGGTGATGTTGGATCTTAATTTTAGAAGATTCAATCCCTTCTTGTCCTTGATTGTCTGTCTTGAAAAACTGATATGGTCCATGTTTTTCCATCCTGCATTTTAGCTTTTGTATCAGGTCTACTTTCCTTGTCACCAACCTGGTTATCTCTTTTCACTGTCATGACATGGCACTACTTCTACTCATTGGCTTAATAGATTCACTACTTCATTTCTCTCTAGAAGCCCATCCATTTTAATGCATTTACTTTTTTCTGTCTCTCAAGTCTTTTCTTCTTTCCATTGGAAGGGATAAGTTCCCCTGGGATAGTCCCATATGTTTGAGCACTCAATGAGAAACTTGGGATTTGTAAGCTATGCAATTGAAAAATCTATTCTCTTCTCTTCAAAGAAGAAAACGCTATAAAAAATGTAAATGATTTTTAACCTTTCTCTAGTTTCACTGAAGGAATTTCTTTTTCCCCATTTGATGCAGGACAGTTTAGGGGGCTGTTCTGGATCTGAGTTTAGAGGCTGTTTGGTTCTGTTTAGGTCTGTATTGTTTTGGAATTCTGCTGGAATATGTGGAAAAATGTGGGTGGATTTCTAGGAGTCACACCTAAGTGGGGGATTGAGTCACACAGTCCAAGCAAATTGCTGGAAATTATTTGATATTATTGCATTCAGAGATATTGAAAGACCTCATGCTGTATTTATAGAGTTGTAAAGTCCAAATCCTGCTAGGACAAGGATTCCTAAACCTCCAGCATAACTATTCTTATTTAGAATAGGAGGACCTATAACTATTCCTATTTTAGAATAGGAAAACCTAATAACTTTAGGACTAAGAAAAATAAAATGCTCAAACATAAATATTGTAATTTCCAGATTTTCCAACAGATCTAAAATTACTTATCAATTACTTAAGTTCCCAACTAAGTTTTCCATCATTAGCCATGTGCCAAATCAGTGCTTAAGCATTCAAATTATTCTTGGAACGTCTTCTAAAGACCTTTGGAGGCTGCTGCCAAGGTGCCTCATCACCCCTTCTTCCTTTGCTTATTTGTTGTGGCCTCAGATGACATTACGTTTCTCCAGTGTCAAATAGCTACTTTTGTTAGTGTTTGCAATTATGAAGTGCCCTATAGAAGAAAAGGTAGTTATGGACTGTATTTAAACAGGGCATAAGCCATCATTGCATATTTTGGGGATAGTTGATATTGTTGAGCAGAGCAAACCTAGAGTTACTTTAGCAGAATGCTAGAACCTGTTTTTTATTCTCTTGTTAGTTGGAAGCTGTTTTGAAGAAATGATACTCTGAATTAACTTGAGGAAGGCTTAAATGTGAGCAAGACAGTATAACTATATGGTAACATTCCGGAACTCATTCCACTTATCTTAAATTGAGAGAACATAATTTATTCTACAAAAAGACTTATGTGGCCAGCCACATTTGATAGAATTTCAACTAAATATTAAAATACGTAGTCACATTGACTAGGAAAGGTCATCAATGTTCATTGAATTGGTGATGCTGCAAAATCATGGTGTCAAATAATTAAGTAGCAGGATGCTCATAGGCTAGTTGAAAAGGCTGTCTGGCCAAATATGAGATATCAAGGTAGGATCTATTAAAATGAGATCGGTGTTTGAATGATTAACTAGCATGCTCAGGGGGTAGTTGAAGCAAGGATGGGAACCAGAATGCCTGATGAAGGACAGGAACATAAAAAATGCATGCTTATGTGGTGTTCTATGATGATTACTAAAACTTTGGCTTATAATTGAGCTCCTGCAGTGCTTTGAGGTGTGGATCCGTGCCAAGCTACCATAAGTACCAAATCAGTGCTAGAACTAAGCTTCTGAGTGCTGTGTGTGTTTGTCTGGCATATAAATAGATTAAAAAAAAATTCTAATATTGATTATTCAACTCTTCTGGCAATTTCTTATTTCTATGCCCTTCATTGAAAATGCCTTTCTTGCTCCATTTTGCAGGTTGACAGCTCCAAAGTTGCATCTGGGATTGCGTTTTTGCTTGTATGGATGACACGATTAAGCAAGTGCAGTTCTTTGAAGCACTCTATCTTGGAAGCCCAAAAGGGAAGCCAACTGAAAGGATCAGTAATAAGTTAAGATTGCTTAATATTAGCAAGGAGGAGCATATTTGTCATACTGTAGCTCTATTGTAATGAAAGGAAGAACCATAGAAAACATAAATCTCTTATACTTGATTTTTAGAAACTGCTTTGTGACGTTTCTAAGGAAGTTTTTTATTACAGGATAGTAGTTTTTTTTTTTTTTTTTTTTTGCCTCCTTTTGTATGATGTTTTTATGATACTTACTAAACTTCTGGATTTTTTAAATACATGTCCTTATGGTTAGAAGATGCCCTTGTGTTACTGTAGCCAGATTAAACTTAGTTTAACATTAATGCTTGTGATGAAAGAAGTTTTCAGATTTTGTACTCCACTTGTCATCAAATGTATGTTCTTGTGAATTCTACAGCTTGTTGCTTTCTAAAGCTGGGAAATTGGTGGCCTAAAAGCTAAAGTTGATCAAATTTAATTTGTTTTCTGTAATTGAATTATGTAAACATAAGTACTTTAATTACTTTTCCTTGAGAGAAAAGTGAAGTTACCAATTACTTGAAGTCCTAACTGTCACCAGGAAGTGCATGCTTACGCTTACATGCTTTCAGCAACGTGTGGTACAATATCTCTCCTGTGTTCTCATATGGTACTCATTTGTGCAAACATTCTACCTTTAATGTAACATCTTCAACCTAGGACCTAATAAGTTGAGAATATTGCCCTTGTTAGTCCCATTCGAAGTACAATGAATGTAAGCTAACAAAGCATTATGATCTTATTGTAACGTATGTAAGAATATTTACGTGGCAAAAATCTTTTAATGACGTTCAAGTCTTATTTCTTACTTCAATTTCGCTATAATTTTTTTGTGTTTATGTCGCGTTTATTTATTATGATATTTTATTTTAATTTATTTCATTTTACATGTTTGCTAAACTTCTAATCATGTCAATATGCAATGGATAATTTAAAGTAATTATACTACTACTACGATATTATTATTTTATTATTACCGATTCGATTACACACCTTAACTATTTACATATATGACCGATTCTATGTCAACTACTCGTGTAATGGGTCTACCCGGAAGCCAAACCCTCATCCGAGCTACATGCGTTTGATGCCTCCCTCGGTAGTCGGCTTCACGGAGGAGTGAGTCGTAATATCTTATTTATCTACACCACAAGGAATTGTATGAGTTACGACCCAGTAAGTTAACGTATGCATGTAGTGTACGTACATGTGTATGTAAGCATAAAACACCGATATGCATAATGAATCCTTTTTCCTTATGTCATAAAACATTTTATAAACAAGTATAAAAATCCTTTTTCCGTCTTTGGACATATCCCAATTAGGTACTTCGGGGTTTTCATTGCATATGTCCGGCGAACCGGACCCGTCCACGGACACGCCCTACCGAGCCTTTAAAAGTGCACGTCCGCACTTGCCCGACCCCGAACCATTACCATTATCATATGAAAAACCCATGAAGCCCATCCTCATAAAAATCCTCAAAGTCATGAAAATTCTCTTCTTTAAAATAATTCCGATCACTATCGAAAACTCATAACATAAAATACGTTTCCATGACTTAAAACATCATTCATGAGCTTTGGCATGCATATGCATTGTGAATGACAATGCATGCTAACAATGATACCCAAGTGCATGCCCTAAATCGTCATGTAACCATGTTATCAAAACACATAACACGTATAAAATCGAACAGACATAACGGCATAGATAACATCAACCCATATCAAGCAAGTGCAACCAACATTGGCGCATCGGTTACCATAACCACATTTCTCATCACCAATCACAACTCAAGCATAACCATCATTCATTATTCATTGCATTTCACACATTATTGGGAAGAAAATACAATCATAGCATAAGAGTAAGTAAATAATTACATTTCATTTTCGTTTCATTAACTTACTTTACATTTTAACATTTCCAAATTATTTTTTTTAGGTTGCTAACTATCCTTTTGCATC